TATGCAACATGTGCGCACTGAATAGCTAACAGCGGACGTCTTGTCACATTAAATATTATTTCACTATAAAATTCGACAATTTTTACTCGTTTCTCTCTATTTCTGTTATTTTATGTTTTAATTCTAGAATCATGGACATTAAACAATTATGTTTAATTCTCAAGCATTGGTAAATTTTACCAAGCTCATTCTCCTGTGTTTATAACTCTTGGAAAAATTATCGAAATTTAATTTCTTTTTATCAAGGGAAGTGTGATTTATCGTCTCGAGGGAAATATAATTCTATCAATATTTTTACGATTCAATAAACTTGTAAAAGTAATAAGTAGAGAAACAAAACACACATGTTTTTGTGAACAGTAACGTTTGAAATATTGATCTAGATCAATTTTATCCATGTTTTAAGGTTAATACATTTGCTATCACGATTTATTTATGGGGGATTTTCCCACAAATCACTTCGTATTTTACGAAGAAAAATTTTTAAAAATTTTTAAATAATAATAAAAAAGAAATGCGCAATTGGAAATTTTAAGGAGGACATTAATTAAAATAATAATAATTAAAATTCAAAATCGATTTGATATGGAAAGTTTTATTCACTGCGTGTATCTAACACATATTCAAACATCGTCCTTCCATTTAAATTTACTTGCACCAACATCTAGTACACGGCTCTCATAGGCCTCAGCTTTCTCGTAATTAGATACATCTTTTATATATATATATATATATATATATATATATATATATATATATTATTTTACGTAATTGTATAAAACAGACTTATACTGCAATTCTAAGCAGAATCGTAAGTTTCGTAGCTTGTCCTCATAAAATTCGTAAGAACTTATGAGTAGATTTACAATTCTATGCATATCATCTGTCGTATAATCATTTGTAAATATCGTAAATTACATGAAATCGTAGATATTTACGAGTAATCGTACGACATACGGTATAGAATTGTAAATCTACTTATAAGTTCTTACGAATTTTACGAGAGCAAGTTGCGAATCTTACGATTCTGTTTAAAATAGCAGCATTAGTTTGATAATGTGGACATAGAAAGAAAAATATTTACTCTCACACATATGTGACGTTGGTCTCCGGTAAGCGATCGTTACGTTACATATATGTGACGTTGCGAACGTGTCAAACACGATTTGCGTGATTTATCTCGCATGTACTGTTTATTTTGATATTTCTTGCGACGAGAGACGCTTAAGGCCTTCACACACACTTTCCGTAACAGTAACCGTAAGACGTAACGTAAGAATTGACCAATCACGTTGAGAATCGTCGAAACATAAGGTCGCCATTTTTGTGAATACTCCATCGTAATTGGTCAATTCTTACGTTACGTCTTACGGTACTGTTACGGAAAGTGTGTGTGAAGGCCTTTAGACGACAACGGACAAATATAAAATTAGGAAGATATATTCGTCTTTCGAGCGGATCACGCGATTTTCGACGCCTCCGGGCGAATTCTTCCGTCTCCTGAGTGTTTGGCATTTTAGGAAAGTTTTAGAAATGCGCAACACTTCGCTTGTAAAGGAGTTTTCCACGATGCATCTTTGCATCGCATATATTCCCGTTTGAAGAAATTTTTCTATTATAATAGGTTTTAGTAAGGTTTTAGTAAGGTACGCGATCGACGGTTAAAATTATAGAAAAAATCTCGGAACTAAAAAACTGCTCGCTGCGGAATTCCGAGTATGAACGCGATCGATTTCCGAAAGACACGCGATATAGATTAGGCGTAATAGTCGCACTATGCGAAGTGCGTTCGGAGGTTGACCAATAAGGTCGCGAATGAGAAAACGAAAAGACATTGACATCAGGCGATTGACTCCGCGCGGAGACGTCGATAGATTGGAGAATTCGGTCGCGGCCTTTTAAACTCACGCATCTGACGCGTGTGACGCGATACGACGGTGTTCGCCTTTTAAATAAAGTTATATCTTTTTCTTATGTCTTCTTACGTCCGTACACAGTTCTTTCAATTAAATTTTCTTCAATTTCTTTGTTCAATTAAATACACTACACTAATTTTACTTACAACTGATAGCATCTCTTATGCGATTTAGCGGATTTAGAGAGTCCCATTAACATTAATAACAAATAACAAAAGCAATAAGCAATAATTTCAGTTATCAATTGGTTTAATTAGTGTTTATTTAGAGACAACGCGACGTGCACTATATTGACGTTTCAGGAGCTTCTCGGGGCTCGATTTGGTTCGAGCTAAGGAATCTTCTCTCGCGCGCAGAGCACGTCACCTAATTCGAACGGAGGAACTCGTGGCCCCAGGCGGCTTTTTGCGCGGCCCACGGAGCGTGGAATTAACCGGTGCTTCCCCCTTTTCTAAAACCAACACGTAATTATCTCACCGGCGGTTGCGTCCGGCGATTCTTTTTGCCCCGGCCTTTTCCCGCCGACAGGTTCGGCAAGCGACGATACCCGATATTTACATGGCAGGTGATATCAATTATCGCCCGTGAGCCGTCGATGCCCTGGGGCTTCAAGATTGCAGCCGAATCCGAATCTCGAATGGTTCCTCGCCAATTTACTCGATTCGCGCCTTCATCACTTTTTTCCCACCGCTCTAGCATCCATAGTTTGCGATGGAGAAGATGTATCATAATCGGCGGTTCGATCGAGCCAACGATTCGGGAAGTCCTAGAACCGGACTAGAAATTTATCTCATGCTCTTGATCAGGTGGATCTCAATCAGTTTGTATCTAGTTTGTATAAGATGATTTTTATCCAGTCCTGATAAGTTACGTAACGCAGCGTGGCAATCAGAAAATCTTATTAATAATAAGGACTATTAATCATTAAGACTTTATTAATTAGCATCAGATAACATCATCTCATACAAATCAAATTGGGACTCAACCATGATGAGTAGCATAAATGTCTAGTCGGGATATTGACCGATGAAAATTAAAGTTGTGTCATGAAAATAGTTTCGTGAGGATTTGATGAAGCTTGCACTGCATTCACATTGAAATATTATCTAACTACTCGTGCAATTAGAAAAAGATTGACCACTTAAGAGTTAAAATATTTGCAACTAAAGTTGGCATTTTTTATACATGTTCCTTGATGTTATGAATGCTACTTTTAATCTCTATTTTTAGTATTTGTATTATTTTTAGTAATATATTGTGTATATATATTTATCTCAACTTCGTCTTAAATTAGCATTTATTACTCAGATAATGAAATAAATGTAATTTTGTGTTCGATAAATACTCATCGATATAACTGCTTTAAACCATATATCGAGAAGCTTCTTCGCGTGTTCTTCATAAATCTTCGATCGCGACGGTCAACAATATAACGACTTAAAGTTGTATTTGCTTTGTAAACTCACGCAAAAAACACATCGTGTATCGAGACAAACACAGGCAATCGAAATTGTCTCTGCGGGAGATATTTGCTTATTTGTGCTTGCGTGTCTTCTGCTGTTTATTTAGACAACGGCTCAAGATTGCTTCCGCGAGGATACATGGCGATCGGTTTGTTTCCAGCATATTTTCGAGTAGTTGTAACATCACGCTCATACACGAGCGAGGACGCGACTCCCACATGTAACGCATCCCACTAGGACGGACGGCCAGCCAGTCGGTCGATCGGTCGGTCGGTCGGTCGATCGGTCGGTCGGTCGACCGGGATCGATTCTTCTTGTTTCCTACGGGATTGGGCGTAACGCTCCGTTGCAGCTGAAGCAAACGGTGACTCGATAAGTACCGTGATGGTCCCCCGGGGCAAAAACAAATAATAACTCGGCCACGAGAAAGGCCTTCGGTTAGCTACAACGTCGGCCCCGCGGAGCCCATCTCACAAGCGCCTTATTTCCAAGCGACTATCGCAATTTTGAAAATGGTTGTCTCATCACGAAGGGAGAGAGCCCTTGTGTCTGTAGGACGCTGTCGATTACAGGGCGCGCCGCTGCTCGTCGTATTTCGGTGTTGGTTTTCGAGCCTTTTGTGTTAAAAAGACGCGTGTAATCATCATCCCCTCCCCTTACGAACGCGTAGAATCGTGAAGGTTCCCAACAAGGCTGGGGAGAGAAGAGAACCAGGGGGGGGCGACCAGGGGGGGAGAACGCCCATAGTCTGTTGTGTGTGCCCCCCTTTCGCTCGCCCCGTACTGCTTCCGATCGCCGGCGAGCCACGACGAGCCGACTGGCCGACTTTTTGCGAGCGTCGCGAGCGTCGAGCTTAGCATAGGGAATCATCGAGCGTATACTTCGACAACAGGTGTCGGGGTGGCTGGTATCCGCCGAGAACGCGCGAAATTGCAGACTCGCACGGTCGTCTTTTGCACGTCAAATGAGAGCGAGAGAGAGAAAGAGAGGGAGAGAAAAAGAGAGAGAGAGTTGGCCACGTGAGAATAATACTTTGCATGTACTGCGATTACGCGCTCGTGAGCGGTTCGCTGTGGTTCGCCATCGTCCTCGTTGCGCGATTTCTGCAACGAAGGTGCAATTCATTCACGACGGAGTGTAACAGCTTCATCCACGAATGAGGACGTTAATGTCGAACGAAATGAGCGATGCAGTTGCATAAACCAATATAATAACCGTAATAGCTAATGACATATTAACAATTAGAATTTCTCAATTATTCGCATCTATATATTCGTGCGTCGTGACTCTTGATTATTTATTTAACAATATCTAAATTATTCTTCACAGAGAATGGCATTTGCAATGTAAAACATGAAATTATGTCTAAAACACAAAATAATATTTGATACATTTCGCCGTTTTGTCATAAAATTAATAATCGTGATACATAAATATTATATATTGTGATATGTGTATAATTGAAAATTTGTTAAACTTTTATTATATGTCGATATTAATTTTCTATCAATTCTATAATTCTATATATTAATTTCATGATAACAAATTCGCCATTATTCATAGATAGATTTTGTGTTAACTTCACGCACGGTACGAACCTATAGTTAACATTGTCACAATGCAGGAGGAGGAATACAACGAGATTTTATTAATATTTAATATCTTTACATATTATTACATATAATTGCACATGACAAAGTCAATTAAAAATTTTATCGAGAGAAATAACATATCAACTTTCTGGACGAGGAAGAGTTTTATTGTAATTATTACGCCTTTCGTTTGCTCGCAATTGGCTTTGGTATGGTGCTTTGTATATGGGCGTACTTCGGGTTTTTTGTTGGCTTGCTAATTGAATCGAATGACTTGTTATTCGATGACAAATGTAAATTTGATATCGAACGAGTCACTGCAGTCGAGCTTAATTTCCGAGACGCAGTATCAATAGCAGCGCCAAAACTTTTGCGTTTGTCCCCGCTATCCTGTGATCCTGACGATCTAGACGATGTCGGTGTTCCAGGGAAATCGCTGATCGATCTGCGTACCTTCGCAGGAATTGTTAGTCTCGTTGTATTTGACATTCGATTAGAATTGATTTCGTTTGTAGATAATCGCCGTGCGTTTAACGACTGTGGAAATGCTTGCTATAAAAAAGGAGGATAGTGAGTATATATAAATGTACATATTTAATCCTCGCGTTTCATGTTATACTCATGTTATACTTATGTTATATTGTTCATACCTTCTTTATTTCGTCCAACTTTGTTACGACGTTCATTGCAAACATCCGGGCTTCGTTTAGGGATTGCAGGACAGCACTAGTCATTTCAACCTTTGCAAAAGGATCATTGAATGTTTTCAAATCGGCTTCTGTGGATTGGTTTTCATCGAGAATGAAGGTGTCGGATCTGCCAACATTATTAATGCAGATCGCCGGACTCGATCGTGAGATAAACTGCGAATAAATAAGACAAATTGAAACTAACGTCATGTGCTTCGAATAATAAGAAATAATTATTCAAAGCAGTGATCATTATCGTGATTAAAAATTGAACAACTATGAAGTTAGCGGGTCTTTACATCGATCTATAATTTATATTACACTGACCTAATATGTAAACGATCGCCAAATAATAATCACCAAATAAAACTACATTTTCGATGAGATAGAGTTATAACGCGATTCTGTTATACCTTTTTCCCGTCTTGGAATACTTCGTATGTGCTCTTTTTTTCATCGGTTTCCAAATCAGGATTGGACGTGCCAGAATTCTTCGGTGTTTCCTGAATGTCCTGAGATCTGAAATCGTTATAGTGAAATGATTTAGTAACCTATTTTCTAGAGGCCGTGTTAAATAAAGCTCCAAAACAACCTGCATATATTCTCATCGTTTTCTTTCCAATTGTCTATAACCGAAGCAGTCGGAGTGGTGACGGTGCTTCCAGTCGGTGTTTTGAAAGAAGTGTTATTAATGTTAATATCACTTATACCAAGAAGCGTAGCAAGCACGTTAGTCACAACATTCGTCACTTCATGCTTCGTCAAAGGCACATTTGGCTGTTTGTTCTGAAACATGCGACGCATTCGTAGATTATCGATATGAATTTCATTATATTCGCGCACATGACATTTTAACTTTGTAATTACTGCTGTGAACTGACACATTTTTACCGATCACATTTTACTTTCGTCCAGGCAATAACATTTTGTTTGCAAAACAAACAAATACTTTACCTTCGACGAAGGGTTTGGCAAAGGATCTTTTGTGTAACGAATGACCAAGCTTGAAAACTCTTGCGCAAAGCTCATCACATTCATTGTAGATAGATTCGACATGAAATCCTGGTTTGATGTACACAAGTAAACCGATTTCGAACGACTGATCGACGATTCGCCTTTGTAACGACTCTTCCGTATTTACTGTTTTCAAGCAACGGTTAGACAATACAGCCAATGCTGACGAGTTTTGTTACTTCGTTCAAGGATAAACAGCAATTATAGTATACTTATTTATATTGCACTTTTTTCAAGCTCGCTCGTGACTTCTCGTGACGGCTGCTTAATCACCGCATTCTATGCTTTGAATAAAAATTTTTGTAATTTATTTACTAAGAGAAAAATAGATTATATAAGAGAACTTACTATAAGAGAAAAATAGTTTTGTATTATATATCAATTATTATATATATAATTAATTTCCCTCAATCAAAGAAACCTGCTTTTTTTCCTTATAGGTGCTGATTGAAATTTTGATCTTACTTTTAACCTCAATATTTCATTTAACATCTATTTTGATACACTGAAGCCTATATCAATCTCTTGATTTAATTTAATCTATAAACTTTGTCGTCTTCTCTAGAACCTACAAGTATTTTGTGCATTTTTTGCAATTTAGAGGCACTAAGTAAGATTTCAGTTTCTATGTGTATTAACTCTAACGGTGAATAAACATTTTTGGCATCTTAATAGTGAATAGAGTTATTCATGTTCGATGTTTCCGTCAACTTAAAATTGTTGAAAAATTCTGAAAAAATTTAGCTTTTTTTAAGTTTCAACTAATAGATTACGAGATTATTCAAGAAAATAAAGTAATATATTTTTAATTATATTTTTAACAAGGATCTACGAGAAAAGTTACTTTGAAAAATTATATAAAAGGTGTTTTTTTTTAAAAATCATCAGGAAAACCGCTTGTCTCCAGGATCGGTTTGCTCCGACTGCTATTCAAACAATAACTAACAAATTTTGTCGCTACTGAATATTAAATACACTTACTATATTAATTTTTCTTTTTTGGAATACGTTAGAAGCCTTTTTAGGGTGAGAAAAGTGCAAAGTTATTAAAAATACCTGAATTACCCTCCTATTCAGTTTAAGAGTTAAACATACGAGACAATCGAATATACAAGAAACCAAGGATTATCATTCGCAAATCCACACTCGCTCAGTCATTGCGGAAATCAACCTTTCCCCGATAACTGAGCCATCCCGCTCCCACGAGCCGTCTTCGAAGTAGTTTCTGAAGTGGCCACTCCTCCGCTCTGCCAATTATTCCCTGCCACACGTCGGGCACTGATGGAGCAGCCCGCGAGAGAAGAGGCGTAGGGACATGATAAATCTCCCTCGGGGGAAAAACTAGCCGCCCAAAAATATATGCACGCCGGAGATGGATGGGTGGAGTGCAAGGGCGGTGCCCGGTACAGCAGGGAGAGTTTCGTCTCAGTTTGTTTCTCGGGAGTCCTC